TTTTTTTGGGTGGGTGATCTAAAATTTTCTCTAAATAAGGAATTGACTGTCGGTGCCAAATGAGGAAAGTTACCCCTAGAAAAGGGGAAACTACGGGGAAGTCACAAAAAAAGGGTTACAGTTGCAGTATGGGCAAATATACAGTTTCAACTTGCAGTTTGGGCAATGCATACAACCCAGCTTTCTGTCCAGGTCGGGTCCCCAAAACTGTGTCTTGCCCCCATAGTGCAATTATAACTCGTTTTTGTGACTATATTGAAGTTATCCCAGATTGGTGGAGACTTGCATCTGCTGTTAACGAGTCCCAGTGGCCCTTTTACAGAACACTCCCTCCTCTCCTTCTCCTCTCCTTTGCGATGTACGACACATATATACCACAGTCTCCTCTCTCTCTCTCTCTCTCTCTCTCTCTCTCTCTCACACACACACACACACACACACACACACACACACACACACACACACCACAGTGATCTTCCTTTTAGAGCACTCCCTCACTCTCTTCTCTCTCTCTCGGATCGACCTTTTCTACTAAGCCTCTACTCGTTATTGGATAGCATACTAAGAGCAATTATATAACGTGGAGCATGGGCCGAATATACGATCAGTCTTGTCTTTCCCCCTTCCTCCTCGTTCTTCTTCTCCTCCTCTGTTTTACGATGATCGTGGCCCTGCCGAAAAGAAGGGCGATTGCGGAGCCGCAACTCAGCCATCCTGAAAGCCACTCGAGGCCGTCCAGCAAAGTCAGGTACACCGTATTCCCGGCTGCCTCTACCGATCACGTGACTAGGGAGGGTCTGAGTCGGAGTAGGGACTCGGAGTATAGGGACTCGGGACTCGGGACTCGGAACTCGGGACTCAGGAATCGGGACTCGGGAATCGGGACTCGGGACTCGGGACTCGGGACTCGGGACCGAGGCAGTGGAGCATCTTGATCGTCCGTGCTCGGGGTTGTCGTGTCGTCTTGTTGGTGAACGTGCCTGTGGGTGAGCTGGCAATGCCGTGCGCACTTGGCATTGTGAGGCAGAGGTGGAACCAACCACCATCGTCAGATCGACCCGGCTTTCACTTCACTTCACCAAGTTGCAGTCCATGGGTCTGCTGCTTCCGCCATAGCCGTGATCATAAATGACAGTACGTTGTATTGGGCGGAAGAAGGTAGGTAGCTGTTTCACGAGAGAGAATGCGAGATCGGGGGCGGGGAGGAGGCGCTTTGATGGGTTGAGCCGCCCACCATCCTTTGTGTAAACGAATGTAGACGTGCTTACGTCCAGATGCGCACAACTATATTAGGCTTGCAGTCTAATATTCGGTCTCGCATGAAGTATTGTTGAGCATTTTCTTGCGTTGTCCATTTCCGCCAAGTGTATCGTATGTAGTCGATTATTGATCACTTCTCTAAGTTCTCTTTCTCTCTTTAACATTTTGACGAACACCTCGTGTCCCATTGATATGTATTAGAAATCTCTCTCTCTCTCTCTCTCTCTCTCTCTCTCTCTCTCTCTCTCTCTCTCTCTCTCTCTCTCTCTCT